TAAAAATTTAAACATCTGCTTTAGCCTCATTTTAGATGATATCTGTGAGATTGCAGGTTTAGTGTTCGTATCATTTTAACACACATTAAAATAAAAACATGTTTACCCACAGACCATCTAGAATCCTGTCCACCACCAGGGCAATGTCAATGTTCTTTGGGGAGCTGTGGCTAAGCTGACCCTCACAGCAAGCCCCCAGCTGGCAGCCTCAGATGCAGAGGCACAAAGAAGTTAAGTAGCTTGCCCGGGGCCACACAGGTAGTAGGAGCAGAGCTGGGATTGGGCATAGCCTGGATACGTCCAAGTTGTGACCTGTGAATTTGCCCAGCACAGAGGCTGCTATGGGGTCTGTGGCTAGCACAGCCTCAAGCCCTGAGCATGGCCCTTTTGGAACCAGCAAATCTGCCCTTGCCACAGTCACACACACAGCCCCTGCCCTCAGCAAAGTCATTGACACTTGTGGGTCTCTCCTATCACATGCTTTTCTCCAGGCCAAAAAATGGCCTTTGACCATTTTGAGGAACGATTGGTTATCCTTTCCTGCCCACCTGGCTCAGGGCACCTTGTCCACCACTGGTGTCCATCCTGGTGCTGCCCCCAAATCTCCCTGGGACCATCACACACACACACGCACGCACACCCCACACCTCCTGAAACAGCAGCGGTCTTCTCAGGGGCCTCAATGTAGAGCAGTTAACTCCTATCCCCGGGACCTATACAGGAGGGCAAGGCAGAGCAGTGCGGAGACAGGGAGGGGGAAGCAGGAGGTGCGGGCTCACCTCCTGCACTCCTGCGGTGGCCTCACGCATGCCACCTCGGTCAGCTGTTTCTAAAGCCAAAAAGGCTGATGCAGCACATGGGCCAAAGTGGCTATTAATTATTGTGTCCACAGTTGGGGTGAGGAGTATCTTAGTCAGCTCGGGGTGCTCTAACAAAACACCACAGACCAGATGGCTTAAACAACAGAAATTCCATTCTCACAGTTCTGGAGGCTGCAAGTCTGAGGTCAGGGTGCCAGCACGGCTGGGATCTGGTGAGGCTCACGGCCCTCTTCTGGGTTTGCAGGTGGCTGACTTTTTGCTTTGTCCTCACATGGAAGAGAGATCGTCTCTCTCACGTCTCTACTTTTAAGGGCACTAATCTCATCACGGGGGCTCCACCCCCATGAACTAATTACCTCCCAAGGGCCCCGCCTCTGAGTGCCATCACATTGGGGATTAGGGCTTCCACATATGAATTCTGGGGGAAGACAAACATTCAGTCCATACAGGGGGGCACATCTAAGCAAACTCCATCTGGGGCTGTATCAGTAGCAGCAAAATGTCAGATGAGGGAGGCTGTAGACCGGCTCTTCCCTGCTGACCAAACCCCACCTGGAGTCCTGTCCTCAGCCCTGGGGTCTCGTCTACAAAGGAGCGTGACAGAGAAGGGCGGACAGGTAAGCGGGGATGCTGTTGGGATCTAGCCCCTGACGTCGGCACTGTGATGGGGCCCCAGCCCCTCGAGTCGTGTCCTCAGAGCATATCCTGGAAGAGAGACAGCACCCCACTTCCGAGCAAGAGCTGAGGACGGTGCAAGTCCAGACATCCTCCTCCCTGCCGTGACCCTCACCTGAGCCCCTGCCGGGCCTCCCCCCTACCCTTGCCTTCAGGAAACACATCTGTCTCTCTGCCACTCCCCGCTTCTCCATGCATGAAGGAGAAGGTACAGAGTATCTACTAGGAGACCCTCACCGTCCATTGTCTCTTTTATTCTTTGTAACAATCCTCGGAGGCAGGGATTATAATCCCCATTATGGGGGAGAAAACTGAAGCTCAGAGAATCCCTTAACTTGCCTGAGGCATCGAGATGTTAAGCATCAGAGCTGGGATTTAGGGACACTCTAAGTGACCGTGAGTTCATCCTTCTTCACTCTGCCAAGCTATCCCCTCCTCACAGCCGCCTCTTCCTCCTCTGTCCTTGCAGGCAGCCAGCTGTCATGGAGCACGGCCATCTCCCTGGTGCTCTTCGTGTGGCTGTCTTCTACCTTCTGGTCAGCCCTGCCCCTCCTGGGTTGGGGCCACTATGACTATGAGCCGCTGGGGACCTGCTGCACCCTGGACTACTCCAAGGGGGACAGGTGAGGTGGGAGGAGCAGCTTTGAGGCTCCTCTATGGTAATCTTGGCTTTGAGACCCTATGTCAAGGGGGCCCCTGGTGAAAATCCAAAAGGGGAAATGTCAGCATTTGCCAGACAGTCTCACCTCCTTAGCCATGATACCCACTTGAGGTTGACAGAAGGGCTGCGGAAGTCCATTCTGAAGACTGGCCGAGTGATGGGAATGCTATGTAAACCGGGGCCCAGAGTGGGGTCCAGGAAGAGGCATCATGCAGTGAGCCGTTGGCTTGTGTCGGTCACAACAGTCAGGGAG